AAACACCATTAGAACAAATCCCTCTATTCATTAAGAGAATGTAACTATATATCTATCCTAACCACTTTGAATACACAGATACAAAATGGACATTCATCAATGATTTTATTTTAAAAATCATTTTCTGATCTTTTGAGGACAGATACAATAAAATCAGATAATTTCAACTACAATTATCTGATACATATTCAAACAATGATGACCACACAGTGTTTAGCTCTGTAGAAGACAACCTGGGTGACTCTCCTTGAAGGAGCAACTGTCTCCATTTTGTCTGAGCCTGACCCTATTTCCATGTACTGATACGTACAGAGCTGGCTAGAACTTTTCCTTATCCCTTCAACTGGCTTTAAGCAATGCATATCTGCCCAGCAGAGGTGGTGGTGGTAGTCTCTGAAGACAGCATATGTGCTTCCCTGGAACTCCCCACCTGCTGCTCCCCAGTGTGAGACCAGTGCTCCACAGAGTAGGGTGGGATCAGCTTGGATCAGTTTTGTGATAGAGACTATGACTTCCTGGGGCTTGAAATATTACACAGCAAGGGTCGGCCAAATAGCTCAGTGGATTAAAGTGCCTGCAAGCAGGCGCAGGGGCTGGGGTTCGATCCCCAGGCCTGCTGTGCTGGCCCTGCCCCCAGGGTGCACTGAGACTGGGCCTGCTGGTGCACACCTATAATCCCAGCTCTTGGGAGTCTGTAAACAGGTGGATCATGAGTCCGATCTAGTAGTAAGACCCTGAACACCCTGTAGACCCTTCCCTAAAAATAAAAATAAAATGATTACACATCAGAGCTGAAAAACATTAGACACTATCTCAGTTGTGTCATGCAGATAACTCTTTCTGCACATCCTTCTCTCTGCATATCACAGAGGTGAATGCAGGCCTCCTACCTAGCCCAGCTCACAGCACTCATCTACTTGACCTCATTCTCACAGTCAATCACTCATCCTCAAACCACTCCTTTCTTCATGAATAAATAAAACCTAGGTTTAGCTTTGGGTCAAGGCCTTGGTTCCAGATGGCCATCATCATGGCTGGCCTTTAGGACCTCTTGGTTCTCCATAACTACAAATATGCCTTAGAGTCTTTATTCTTGCTGTGGGTTGCATTAGGTGTGATAGATTAGAATGAACTTTATGGGATTCCAATAACTTATCCATGGGAATATAAATATAAACTTCTTGGACTGCAACAAGGACCAGGAAGGGCTCTCTATACACCTCAGGCATGGAGCATGGTATCTGCCTTTGGCCATCTACATGCGTATATTTTCTCATCACCTCTTTGTCTCACTAGTACCTTCATAAAGATCTTGTGGAGCAGAAGTATAGGAATGTTTTCTCCTTATAGGTCAGTTCACCCACTAACAGAAAAAGAGCTAATTAAAGGAAAAAGACTAACAATGTGAATATTGCCTAAGTTTGGGTTTAAATATTTTCTAGTAAACAGATAAAAAGGGTCAAAGTTCATTGAAAGAGTGCTGAACTAGGTAGGGTTATCAGAGAGTAACAAAGTCCCAAATACTTGTTACTGGGTATCCACTTACTTTTCTGGGGCTTATAAACAACTTGTTCCAGTTCCTCCACATTTTCTTTAACTGTTGCTATCACTGATGCATCAAGGGAAGCACAAAGTTTGCAGATGTAGGCCATGGCTTCCTCTGTGTTTTTAGCATCTCCAACTCCAACCGATGCAGTCAACCCGATGACCTACAAAGAGTATTCTGGCATTAATTTTTTCTAATATTCTCTATGGCATTGCAAAAAGAAAGGTCCCATTAGGCAAAGCACTGAACACATGTAAGAGTCATAACTCATCTACTAAATACTAATCAGCACAGAAGCAGAGGATGAAGCTCTTTCCAAGTGGAGCTTCTCTTTTCTATATCACTGCATTCACTATGATGTAGAGAACATCATGCTGAAAAGGAAAAGAACTAAAATCTGACACAGCCATTCCAATGTAGGTCATGTCAGACTGGTTGGACATCCTTGGACAAGTACCTTAAACTTTTTGTTAATGTGGGAAAAAACATTTATTTAAAATGGTAGCAGTGTAGAGTCAGTAAGGTAACTACCACTAACGGCCACTCAATAATTACTGAACAATCAATTAATCAGTAAGGAAATCTACATCAAAGATATTCTAAACAAACAGACTATGAGAAATGTAACACTAAAGAAGGAACATTTTAGTCTGTGGGCACTGTACTAAAATTAATTTGCAACTTTCTAAATGGGTCATTATTAAGTCTGCATAACTTTAAATCTATATTCAGACACACGTACCATAAATTCATGGTTTCCAGCATCACTTGAGCCAGCCACATTACCAAGAAATTTTTCAATTCTCCCGTGGATTTCTGTTCATCCTCTGATTTCAAATCCTCCCCACCCTGTGCTCCCTCTCTTATCACTATATTGGAATTCTCAGCAAATCTTATCTCATCATGATAAACTATGCTATAGTTTTGGTGCACCTGGCTCTCAATGAAAATTTGTCTAAGGGTTAGGACTATATCGTTTTTATACTTATACTACCAGTGCCTAAAAGGGTATTAATGTATACAATCCATATAGATAACTTTTCATATCCAGTTTCTGCATCTTCAACCAACAATGGGTCAAGAATATTTTTTAAAAATTTTGTAGGTATCAGACATGTCTAAACTTTTTATCATTATTCCCTACACAGTATAGTACAATTATATTTACATAGAATTTACAATATCGTAGGTATATAAATAATCTAAAGATGATTTAAAGTATATAGATAAATGTACAGGTTACATGCAAATACAATGACATTTTATTGAGGAAATTTGAGTATCTTGGTTTTGTTATCCACAGAGTTGCAATGGACAATTATTTGCTAAGTGAATAAATGATGAATGAAAATTGATCAATAAGCTATAATAATATGGATTTATTAACTAGAGAAGGACAATCTCAAATGTGGCCACAAGCGTAAGTATGTATGATTTAGGAAGAGAATAGTTCTTCTGAGCAGACTGGCTGATTGAAGATACCTGAGGCAATCGATCTGGAAATCCTCCAAGCTTCTGATCTAGATAACTGAACATGATCATATTGTATGGGTGGTTTTTACTTGTGTTGTGGCATTCATCAAATATCATCAAGGTAAAGAGAGATAGTGAAGGAATGGTTCCGTTTTTAAGATTGTTCACAAGAATCTGTGGTGTTAAAATGATGATGTCATTGTTCTCAATAGTCTGTGCCACTGGGACATTCTCAGCTGTTGCTCCAGAAATGCCTGCAACTCTGTACCTACAAAACAAAAGAAATTTCCCATTACCCACCATGATGTGAACGAGGAGACACAAAGAGGAAGTATTAGATCAGAATAGCTGCTGATGAAGTTCCTTCTAAGTGATATATGGGGAGACTAGTTAAATCCTTAGCACAAAACCTGACACACAGCAAGTGACTAATAAATGTGATCTAGTTATAATTCACAATAATATAAATATATAAGGCTGATTTAGCGTATAAATATATATGATTGATTTTTTTAGTAATATGGAAAAGGGGAGGGGCACAAAAATCCCCTTGGGGTAATTCACAAAAGCAGCTACGACCTCCAGTTAGTTTACTTTATTTCAAAACTATTTTTAATCACAAGGAAAGATTTCTTTAAAATATTATTGCACATTTCACCTGTGGATGTCTATAATTTCATTCTCAGTATGTTTCCAAATCTGTGCTGGAATTGAAAGAGCAAAGCATTATACTGACATGTTTTTCTATTAAGTATTATTTTTAAAGCATTATTTTACCAATACAAAAGAGCATTTCCTCATGGTATAAATGAAAACTGAAATCCTATGTATATTCTAGAGTAAACAAACACATTTTAGGATTTTTTTCCCACTTGTAGAATTACATTTCCTATAAAGTTTCTAAATAAATCCTTTTGGGGTGGGTAAATCACCTTTTGGTGATATAGGGTCTCACTATGTAGCTCAGGCTACCCTTGAACTCACTATGTAGTCTAGGCCAGTCTTGAACTTGTGGCAACCCTCTTGCTTCAGCCTCCTAAATTCTGGGATTACAGGCATAAGCCACCATGCCTGGCCCAAATAAAGATTTCATTTTTATTTTTTCAGTGTAAAAAATATTGCCTTGATGGGACATTACGATGCAAAGCTAATTGCTTGTCAGGTAATTAAACATCAGGACTAAAACCTACTTACTCTCTAGCTGCTACCTTGTAGATATAAATATGCACCATGTATGTATTTTGTGTTTTATTACATTATACATCACAACAAATAAGCAGAACAATTACATTTATTGGGTGTACTGTTTCTAAAAAAACTAAGAATGATAAATTATCATCATCATTTAGTATTTGCTAATTGCACTACACTTTTTGTTACATACATGTTGGAAAGTCAAAGGAATTTTAAATTCAACAAGTAAAGTTTTTTTTTTTTCATAATTTTACTGATAAACAGCAATGAGACAGTTTCAAATCAAATTGGTAGGACAGTTTTAATAACCAACACACTGCATATATTCTTCTTAGTGGTTAATTGCTGTACAAGATGCGGACCTGAGATCCTATTTACAAACACCATTA